TGTGTCTCATGCTGTAAAGTTGGCTAGCGAAAGAATTTAAAAATCAACTCTGTATGGAGTAGGCCTCCTCAAGATTGATGGTCTCTAGGTAGGGGATCCTGAGTTCATGTACGCGGAAGGGAAATGAGTGCTGGTTTCCCCAGCTGGGAGCGTGGGCAGAGTATGGAGGTTGTCTTTTATTGTGATCAGGGCATGGCCACCCTCCTATGTCACACCTGGTGTGGGAAAACAGTGACTAACCTTAACTGTCCCAAGTATATCTTTTAAAAGATTTATTTATTTATGCATACAAGAACTGGGGTACAGGCCACAGGTGTGTGGGCAGGGGGTGAGGGGTTTCCCCAGAGACAGAGTAGAGAGCAGAACAGATGGATTTACTGAAATACATAGCCGAGGGGAGCAGTAGGCAGGAAAGGAGAGGTCTGCTGCGCCATGTGGGTCAGTTCTCTGACTGGAGATCGAACTCATGCTGCAGTGGCTGCCACTAGTTTCATTGTACTGAGACTTAACCCCTTGTGCCACCAGGGAGACCCAATGTTCCAAATATTAAAGTGATGTCTCAGTGTCCTTATTATAGGTGATTTTGCATGAAGGGAGCGTTCTGACCTCATAATTTCCAGGATTTGAGATACCAACTTATCTAAGGTAACTGGTTGGAGATACTACCACCAGTCTGAAAGCTCTGTTAGATTCCTAAACATGATCCACTTCTTTTTTTTTTTTAAGATTTATTTATTTATTTATACAGAATTGGGGTACAGGCCAGAGATGCAGAGGGTGAGATGATTCACCAGAGACAGGATGGGAAGCAGAACAGGCAGATCAATGCAGTGCACTGCTGAGGGGAGGAGCGGGCAGGTCAGGAGAGGTCTGCCACGCCATGTGGATCTCCTCCAGGGCAGGCGGGGATCGAACTCATGTGGAAGTGGCTTTAGCTTCTTAGTGCAGTGCTTTAACCCGCTGTGCCACCAGGGAGGGCCGAGATCCACTCTTAAGTGGGAATTATATGACCAAATATTAGTCCTGTGAATGATGCTATAGTCTCTTGGTCTAAGGCATTGCATTATTTCCCAATGTTAAGAATGAAGATACTGTGTCACCTGTCAAAGGCATATTGAGACTGATTGTAATTTTTCAAAGACTAAGAAGGTAGGGACGATCCAAACCTTGGTGGTATAATTCTAGCTTTTGTGGAGGGCAGGTGGTCTAGTTCACATGCCAGAACATACCTGTAGAGGGGGTTGTGACAGGTTGGCACCTGTGGGAACTCAGGCAGGCTCTCCTCTGTCCTGTGCTGGGTCGGTCCTGCTAGTCAAAGATGAAGATTGGGGAGCTCATAATGCTAATGATGTGTAAGTGCATTTTCATCTATTTTATTAAGCTGGCCTCTCCAGGTTCATTAGCATTAATATTTATGCTTGGGATATGTTCCTCCAGAGATTTTGCAAACAGCTCTCCTATTCAGGTAAAAGTTATAGCAAACTGAACTAAGGGGTGGCGCCAAAGAGAGCAGGCTTTCACTTCTCATAGGAAATGAAAGCTTTACTTTTGGCTTGCTGTGGTCTGGATCTTTAGTCTGTAGGACCAGACATCTTATAGCTGGAACTAATTAACTACACTGATATGAATGAAGGGGAGTGTGGATGTCTGTGCGCTAGAAGACAGGGAGGGTGGTGCAGACTCCCCGAGATCACATCCTCTTTCGCTGTCTTTGCCTCTAGTTCTGCATTTGCTGCTGCCACATTCTCCATCTCCAACAAAGGATCCCAGTTTCTGCTGGGTGCAGAGGTGCAGCGTGACCACCACAGAGCGCCCTGCTAGGTGGGGTGGGAAGGTGTTCCCCTTGCAGGGGTCCACACAGAGTCCTAGCATTTGCAACCATGTCGTCTGCACCTGCCACATCTCACATGGCTGGGCTGGGAGGAAGGAAGTGGCTTTACCTCTCAGCCATGCATTTGCTGATGAGCCCTGGGTGGGCTGAGGACCTGTGGGAGATGACAGGTTTGGGCATGGGAACCAGAGGTTATCTCTGGCACATTTAAAAACAATAGGCTCATCTGTACCTCCTGACAGTGTTGTGTTGGAGTGCATGGGATGGGGGTTTCAGGAGAATATGAGTCCTAATAAGATCCCAAACACTGATTCAGTAGGCATGACCAGCCTAATACAAACCCACATACCTGGCTCCTGAAAGTCCTCTAATCCCACGCCCAGAGAAATCCTCACTTGTGAAAGTAAGGGGTCGAGTAAATCATCTCTATGGTTCTCTCCTTCAATAATGGTTCTCCTTGCTCTTTGGATGCTAAAACATTCTTATGTGGGAAACTGTCCATACATGCTGACGCTATCCCTGAGTGAGTGGGCTTTGTAAATAGTACCCAGACCTCAGGGGCTTCTGGTGTGCCTAGTCATGGCAAGGACTGAAAGGGAAGTCACTGTGAACAAGACCTGCTCTTCAGCTGAATCTGGGGCCTGTGAGGAGAGGCTCTGGGGATCATACCATCTGGACGCGGAGAAGAGAGAGAATCAGGGGTTCTAAAAACAGTTCAGAAAACCTAGGTGCAGTAAGCAAATGCAACATGTGAGCCTGACAGGCTTCTGGATTTGGACTAAAACAGCTATGAAGGACATTATTGCGTCCATGGGGGGGAATTTGAGTATGACTGCATATTAGGTAATACCGTGTTTCTCTTAAATTTCTTAAGCATAGAACTGATGTTACAGTTATGGATGTTTATGTCTATACACACAGATGAAGCAAAGGAAAATATTAAGAGTTGGGGAGTGTAGGTGAAGCTTATGTGGACATCCATTGTGCTGTTCTTTCTTTACTTCAGGTTTTCAAAGTTTCTTAGCATAAAGAGTGGAAGTTAGCCTGGCAGTCAGGTGTGCGCCGCAGCCTCGGTCCTCCATCCTGGTCCCCTCTCCCCTTCACTCCTTGTGCATGTTGAGCGCCCCTCACACCTGTCTTTTCAGCTCTTTTCTCCATTGCTCTGTTCTACCTGGCGACAGAGGCAGCCGCCGCCTTGGAATTCTGGGCCTCAGCTGGCATGGTGCTTACAGCTAGGGCTATCACATGGAGGTGTGGGGTACCTCAGGGCCACTCCCAGAAGCCATATTTATTTGCGTCTTGGCCACTCTCATCAGCCACTTGCAACAGCAGCGGCAGCAGAAGTGAATGCTGTTGCAGCACTGGGCCATGGCCCTTTATCTGCACCAGCACAAACCGACCTTGGGCGGTTCCCTTATCACTACCTTTCACAGACTAGGCCTCCCAGCTTGCACTGCTTACAGATGGCACAGCAAGGATATGAAGAACCCAGGTCTGTTGCCTCCCAGACCTCCCTACTTTTTCTTCTTCTTCTTCTTCTTCTTCTTCTTCTTTTTTTAAAGATTTATTTATTCATACAGAACTGGGGTACAGGCCAGAGGTGCAGGTGCAGTGAGAAGCTTCACCAGAGACAGAGTGGGGAGCAGAACAGGCAGATCCACGAAGTACACTGCTGAGGGGAGCGGCGGGCGGGTCAGGAGAGGTCTGCTGCGCCATGTGGGTCACCTCCAGGACAGGCAGGGATCGAACTCATGCTGAAATGGGTTTAGCTTCTTAGTGCTGCACTTTAACCCACTGAGCCACTCAGGGAGGGTCCCCGACCTCCCTTCTTAACCGCCCTGGAGCACATTTCCACCTGGAGCTGCACAGCCACGACCTGGAGGGCACGTGGGCACGCCTCCCACGAGGCCTGAGTTCGGCTGTGGGGCTGAGAGGTCTGCTGCAGGTCTAGATGTTTGACTGCGGCCTCTGTTCTTTCTCTGCGTCTTTGGGGAATTTCATCTGTGACCCCCTTCTGTCTCTTCCATTCTCATGTGGAGGGTAAACTCCTTCAACCAGAGAGGCTTCCTTTCTGTTCGGACCACTGTTTACATTGGAAGCTTGTAGGATGCAAGCTGGGGGCTTGGGTGTGGTGGACCTAATATACTTCTTGTCACTAGGCCCCTCTTCTGCTTGCTGTGGAATAGCAGTGGGAACTCAGGTGTGACCCCTTTAAGCCCCTGTGGGGGTACCTGTTCTTTCTGAATCCTTTGGGGAAGAGAGATTGAGGCACCCAGGGGGAGAGTAGGCTTCAGTTATATTGACAATGATGAATCTCGAGGGAATTAGGGTGAGCCAAAAAAGTCATCCCCCAAAGACTATGTATGGTGCCTTTCCATTTATATAGCTTTCGTGATACGATGAATTAGAGAAATTAAGGACAGATTAGTAGGTTCTGAGGCCAGGGAGTTCAGGCTAGGTGCTACACAAGGTATCATGAGTAGCCCTGGTGGGCATGGAGATGTTCCTAGATGGAATCAGTGTCACTTCCTGGTTGTGATACTGTACTGTGGTCTTGAGAAAGGTGCTGCCTTGCGCAGAAACTGGGCAGTGGGCATAAGCGACAGTGTCATGTGAGTTGTGTTTTAAAAATAAAGACTTAATGTGGAAAACGGAGGTTATAAAGCAGATGTGGCACAACATGAACATCTATTCTCTTGGGTTTTGAGGACATGGAAATCTGTTATATTTGTTGTATGACTTTAATTATTTTCTGAATGTTTGAAATGTGGATAAATGCCCTCTGGAGTTATGTAGTCAAATGTTGAAATAGGCACTCTTGGCCAAGACCCACTCCTGCTCCTTCAGGCCCGTGTGAGGGTTTTGCAATGCCTGGGGGCACAGGCTGAGCTCTGCTGCAGGCCCAGGCTGCCTCTGGACTTCCATAGACCTCATGTAACTCAGGCAGGCGTCCAGCCATCAGAGGGTTGGGACTTCTATTTCCCTCATCACCCCTGTGGCATGTTAACAAAGAGGACAGAATGATAGTATATCAATTCTGGGAGCCAGTTACTTCCAGGCTAAAAGCACCCCTGCATGAAAGGCCACCTTCTCACTTGAATCCTTCACTTGCTGTATTAGAATAAAGGAGACAAACATACCAGAATCTATGAAATAGCTAAGCCACAACTTTTAATACATTCAAAGGGACAAAATGAAGACATATGGGATAGTTTAAATGTGACAGAATGTCCAAAAAAGATGAGGTTGATTGGAATATAATCTTAGGAGTTGTTAAAGTATTGGGTGTTTTCAGTCCAGCATCACAGGACACAGCTGGCTCCAGCGGGTCTATTCACATGGATTCTGGATGACAATCAGAAGATATTCCTTATCTGTGGAGCAATGTGAACAAAGTTAGTGGATCTAAAAATTTGATTTCATAAACAATTACTTTAGCTAATTTGCTTTATCCTTTCAAGGGTCATGCAGACCTAGTGTAGACCAAATTTACCCCCATAGTCGCACATCACAAACTGTTGGTCTTTCAAAAATACCTACCTGGGACCCAGCCCCAGAGCTTCTGATTTCATCCATCAGGGGCAGAGTCCCAGACATCAAGGTTTTGTTGTGCTGTGTTCTTTTTTTAATATATATATATTTTTGGTAAAGATTTCCAGGAGATTTTGCCGTGCAGCCAGGGTGAGAAGATTTTATAGATGTATTATCAAGGAGTTTGATCTGGACTACAATGAGGAGTATGAGTCCTGTTTCTTCACTGACATCTATTAACAAGGAAAGAAGTGTTTCTGTGGCTGCTGTCTTTGGTAGGCTGGGTCGACGTGCTGTTCTCCGCAGGAGGGTATAAGACCTCACAGCCTCTGACTCTTCAGTGCTTACTGTGTAATGGTGTGCTAGGCATTTTATACCCCTTATATTATCTATCCCTTTGGGCATAATGAGTTCACCTAAAATGAGACCTACAATTCCTAAGTTGTTGCAAGGTGGGAGAAATACAATTTCATGTCACAGAATTTTCAGGTTGGAAGTCAGATTCAGTCTTCTTCATTTTGTATTTGAAACTATTGTGTGTCATGTGGCTGATTAAAATAGGACTTCCCATTCTTTAAAGCAAAACTTTCAACCAGTAAAGTGGAAGGCAGCTTTCCATTTGAAATGAAATGCCAGATTACCTGGTGCTACCATGATTTCATGTTTCTTTGATCTGATCCTGAGAAAAGTTAGGTCGTTCTGAGGGTCGATATCACGGACTGTGCTCTTGGTTTTCATTGTCAGCTGGTGAAGAAGACCTGCATATTGAACTGTTGTTGAGTTGTCCAAGGTTGTTCGGATTGGAATGCCTGTTACGAGATTTAATTTTGGGTGAAAATTTTTTCCTATTATAAAAGTAATTTGCATATTGTAGAAATATTAGAATATACTGATTCTGCTAGTATGAACAGATGAAGGAAAAGTGATGGCAGATGTCACTCTTTGCTAACAACTTTATTTCCTTCCCATCTTTTTGTCTCCACAGGATTTTAAAATATAGTTGTATCAAACTTATGAAAAATGTGACTTTTTATTTCATTTAAATGACAGCATATAAGATGCCTTCATTGGTGCCATTTTATTAACATTATCAACATTATTTTTAATGGCTGTATACCCTGTTAGTTGATGGATATATCATAATATAATCACTCTATTTTGGATTGTTATATGTGTGGTATGTGTGTATATAAATGTATTCACTTCTGAGTACTTTGGAAGCTATTTGATAATTTCAGTACTAAGTTAGTTATTACTATAATATAAAATGCTTTCCTCCAAGCATCTTGTCTACAGAAAGTCAACTTTGAAATACTTAGTCTGTGTGTGACATGGTGGAATGTTCTTCCCTGAAATTAGAAATAGGAAGGGATATGACTGCATATACTATGGAATATATCAGCCAGAATTTTCAAAATGGCTTCATAACTCCTCATACTGTATGTTGCAAACCTTTAATTGCATATCAGAAAAATTGTATAAGCAACAATGACACTAGTTTTGCTGGGCATTCCCTGGTTTGCGCTCATTCTTGGTTTAAGCATTATTAAATTTGGCTACTTGTGCTATATTGTTCCATTACACGAGTTTAAAACAGAACCTATTAATTTAACTGGAGAAATCTAGCCAGACAAATATGCACGTGTAATTCAATTCAGTTCAAATCAGCCTAGCTATATTCGGATCACCCGCCCGGCACTCAGGGCTTATTGTGTAATGGGTGTGCTAGGTATTTTACATGGATTGTATTTAATCTGAGATGGCCGACGTATTATTTTGAGAAATACCAGACATCCAGGGAATTACAGAGTTGACTTACAAATGTGCCTTTTATTTAGGGGGATATATGAAGATGAATTTGAGATTGCTGTCAAATTCCTCAGGTACCTGAATTAAGGCCAATCAATAAAGGAGTCTCGGGGGCTTTTGGCTTGCCCTCAGAGAATGTAGTTCCAGAAACCATTATGCAAGATGAGCATTTCAAGAGTAGAACTGTGTTACAGACTGAGGATTTTATCCACTATTAAAAATTCTTTGTGAGTCTCAATTTTAACTTTGAAATAGACTAATTTATTGTTCTTATATGAAGACCAGTATCTCCAGAACAGATCTTGTTAAACAAGAGGACAATATTTACAGGAAAACCTATTCAATGTATACGAAATATGAAACTATAAATCCTTGATAATTTCTGAGTCAGTGTTTGGTGGCTTCCTTTCTTCTAGAAGTCAGTTACCGTTCATACTTGAGGAAACATTACAAGGCCTGCATCTTTAACAATAGGCAACTGAAAAGTAACAAGCACAAAACTTTTTTTTATTTTATAATAGTTTATTTTTACATATTTTTGTGCATTTTTCCATTTCAGTTGCAATCCCCTTGGTTTCCCATCACCAAATCACCCATACAAACACAAAACTTTTTAAGAGCTCTTTTTGATGCAGTTTTATTTTGCATCCTGAATAGTGACTACCTCTAAAACCTGCATTGCTCAGTGTCAAAATGAGAAATACAACCAGAATAAATTATTTAAAGCATGGATGACAAGATTATGAATCAGATGCACAGGCCTATTTAGCTAGTCTATTCATGATCCAAGTCAATAAATAATACAGCTAGCCTTTCTGAATAATAAGTGCATATTGTGGAAACTCTTGGAGTTTTTGCATCAGTTATAGACATTTAAAAAAATCAATCAACAGATATTCATTGAGTTTTTACTTGGTACTATGCAAGGTAATTACAAAGTAACTTATTAAGAAGTAATGTGAGCACATGGTATAAAATTCATCCATTTTCCTCTAAGAGGTAACCTCTGCTTCCAGTTTCTTGGGTAGCCTACCAGAAATAATTCTGTCTCCACCACCCTGTTTGTGTTTGTATTCTTTAATTGCAACCATCCTAACCATCCTCTTTTCTGTCCTTTTTTTTTTTTTTTAATTTAATACAATTGCGAGAATTTCAGTGTACAAAAGGCTAGGTCATTCATGTTAATGGATGCTTTGTAATACACAAAACTAATACAACCTCCTGGTGAGCATTTATGCTGTTCCTAGACTGTGACTTTTATAAATAAAGTTATAGAATATGTCCTTGTGTGTACCATTTATATGTGTAGGCTAAATTCCTAAAATGGAACTCCTAGAACAAAGACTATGAGTTTGATACTGCAGAATTTATGGCACTACTTTAAAATACAACTCTTTATGATTCCAGTAAGCTGGTACTTGCCAGCTATACACTTGTACTTTGCTTGATAAATTGTGTTTCAAAAATGAAAGGAATTGGCTAGATGACTGATAAAATTTAATGCAATTCAAATGATGGATTGTTAGAAATGTCAAGAATATTTAAATTTAAGGACCTGCAGAAATCAAGTGTAAATTCATAAGAAATATGTGGTAGGTATGACTGCCTGAGAACATGTTACACATTTTCTCTATTTATATATAATTAATATTCCTCTATATCTAATTCAGTTATCATTGCTGTAATACTATAAACAAATATAAACAAACTTATTTATAAAACCATGTTGACAAAATCTACTCTTATAACAATCTATACCACTTGCATCAGGCTAAAGTGATGTCTACTTTGTTATCAATAATATGAAGTCTGTGTTTGGTGAAATCAAAAGACACTGGACACTGTGTAATATGGCATATGGCGAGATCTGAATGTTTAAACTTGGTAGAATAACTAACTGCAAATAAAATGTGAGAACAAAAACATAAGTACTATCTTAGTTAAATGCTGAATTTTTAGTATTAGAATTTTCAGGACTTCTGAAGGCTGTAAAGGTATAATGCATGTCACTTTCTCATAACATTGAGTATGCTCTTGAAAAGGAGTAATTTATTAGTTTGGTAATAAGCTATTAATAAACATTCTTGTTGTACACTCTGGTTATTAACAATCTGACCATAAAAATAAGCCCCTCATTTATAATTTTGGCTATTTTGTCTATCTGAAAAGTGCTCTGAATCCAAAGACAACCTTATCCCCGTGGCAATGAACCAGAGGAAGCTAATAGGCATTAAAAATATTTTGTTGCTTTTTGGTCGCAGAAGTGCTAATTGTGAAATAACAGGAAGAGAAAATAAAAATCACTTTTCACCCCACCGTAACATATCTCATAACACGTCCTGCCCTTTTATTCTATATGTGTTGTGTGTACCTGGTTTTCTCTGTCTCAGTCCATATATAAATGTATGTATGTATGAATGTAAATATAACATATATAGTTATAAAGTGCCAGCTACTGTTTGTTCCTGTTTTTAATATGATATTGTGAATAGTTCTCCATGATTATCAATGTTTTTCAGCTATTTAATTTTAAATACAGTAATGCTTCTTGAAGAAACATTATATAATTTAAACTCTCCCTTACTACTGGACAGATGTACTTGTTTGTCTTATTTATTTACTGCCATTAAATGTGGTGTCTCAGCGAGTAATTTTTTCCTACCTAAATCTTAATTATTCTTTAGGATAAATTCCTAGAAGTGGAATTACAGATCAAAAGGTGTGTTTATTTATCTGACATCTGATTGTTGCCAGGATATGGCCTTTAAACTAAGATCTTCCAAAGCAACACAGTAGATGAATTGTTCTTGTGTCACAGGTAAATGTCTACCCTGACCTTATTTGGAAATAGGAAATCCTCCTTGAAGATGTAATTGATTAATATGAGGTCACACTGTTTTTGGTGGGCCCTAATCCAGTTAATTGGATCATTATAAGAAGAGAAAATAGATATCAAGAAGAGAATGCTATGTAACAATGGTGGCAGAGATTGGAGTGATGTGTCTTACAAGCCAAGGAATGCTAAGAATTGCTAGAAACCATCGAGAGCTGGGAGAGAGACAAGGCCACATCCCTCTGTAGGGCTTTCAAAGCAAGCTTGGCTTTGCTGATGCCTTGATTTCAACTTCCAGTCTCCATAATGACAAGAGAATACATTTCTAATTTTTGAAGTCACCAAGTGGGTGGTAATTTGTAATGGTAGTGAAAGGAAATGAATATAGCCCCTCTATGAAAAGTCAGGCTGATAACCCATCTTAGGGAGTGTGATAGTTTACGCAGATAGCTGGACCTTAATTTCTGCAGAACTAGTGCTGGATTATTTCCAGGGAATATTAGACATAGCTCTTAATTTACCTGGTTGATCTTCAATTCTCTCCCTCCTGATTACTCAGGTTGGCTGAATGTGTTATATCTTCTTTAGCATTATGTTTATTATCTTACAAAACAGTCAAATGCTTTATCTATGCAAATCAAAAGTTCCCACATACTCAGAACTATTTAATTATAATTCTATTAAATGCTGGGTATTTTGCCAGATACTTGACAATTATTATTTCACTTAATTATCACAACACTCAGTAGGTTACTTCCCATTTTTAAAGATGAGGGATTGAAGTTTAGAGCTTTAACAGACTTTCATTTAGTAGTTGCTCAATAAATATTTATTGATGGATTTGCTCCAAAATGATTAGCTGCGAAGTTTTGTTGCCAAGCACTACATTGGCAAAGTGCCAAATTCATGGTTATACAGAGTTATGTGAAATAGCTACTCTTATTTCAGTGAATGCTCTGGGATTTGTGGTACCTCTTGCCCTTTCAAATGCCTGAAGTAGCAGTAAAATTGGCAGGAGTCTTTAAGAGATTGCCACCAGAGCTGAGTGTACAGCACATGCAAAGAAAATGCTTTACAGGTTGTTAGTCAGGATTGCGGAGAAAGAAGAAAATTGTGGTGTAAGTCTACAGATTTCATAGGCAGGAATGTATTGACTTTTCATATAGTATATCCACAAAGAATATACTATAAATAATATGTAACTTAACTCTCAAATATTTTTTATTAAATATGACAAAGAAACAATTTTATTTAAAGTGAAGACTAAAACTCTGTACCTTTTACATAAATGTTAAAACAAAGTATAAACTGCTTATGATATTGTCATTAGCTTCACTAAGATGGTTTATTGGGTATTCTCAAAGTGTAACATGAGAGCTACCAAAGCCTCAAAAATTATATTACCTATGGTGTTTTCTAGGAATTCATAGGCATTTCTGAACATGTCTTATTCATTCTTCTCTCAGCAGGATACTTGCCATGTAACAATACTCAACAAATGTCTAATAACTAAATAAGGTAGCTGTACAGCTAAAATATAAAAAAAATTGATTTCAAATTCTGAGATATTTGTTTTAAGGTGTGCCATAACAGACTGCTACTTGGGTGGTCTCTGTGTATCAAAGAAGGCATACTGGATTAAAGTTACCTTCTGCATTTACAACCATTGTTCCAATAACTCCTTTATGGCTCTGGATCCTCTTTAGGGTTTCTTCCACCTCTGCCTGGAAGAGATCAGGATGGAAATTAACCAATAAGACCTTGATAGTGACCTCAATACTAAACAGAATAATACTGAGAAAGAAACCTACTTCCCTTTCTTCTTAACCTAAGATACTAGATGCTACGATCTCAGGAACAGTCTCCTTTCTTTGTAAGAGAGTTTTGAAAGTGTTAAGTCTTACGTTCAAGCCTGTGTAAGACCTTTTCACACAGTCCTGACCAATCTCTTGCTTGAAGTCCTCTAGAGACAGAGCTTATAGCTTACTCCATTTTTATCTGTGTTTATTTGCTGGAACAGTATTCTTGATATTGAACAGAAATCTTTTCGCCAATGTCTTTTACTTATTGATCTTTCCATCTTCATATGAAAAATTCCAGTTCTACATAATTCTTTGAATCTTATACACATACACTAATGCACTTGTTTCCTCTGTACAAATGTTAAATTTAAGGATAATGTCTTTTCAAACAAACGTATTGTTCATGACTGAGTAATCACTGGATATTCTGAATTCAGACAGAATTCTGAAGTCTTCTCAATGATGGTCTGTGATTTTTTTTTCTCTTTCAACATCATACAGGTGAATACTTGTTACTTTAGACAAAAACAAAGTTTTCTTTCGCACCACATGTAGACAGGAACAACTCCTTTTTCTTTCTTTCCACAGTACCAGGTATTTTCTGAATTTCAGGCATTTGTGTACCAATTATGTTTTTTTTTTCTGTTCTGAATATTTTATCTATGCCCTGAGCCTGAATCTGATTTTCAGGTGAAAAATCAAAATTTCCAAATGACAGATTACAAGTAGTGACAGATGAATTCTCCTGGATACAGGCTAAAAGCTGGGGGAAAAAAATGGAAGGGATGTAACTTTTTCAGGTGTACTGTTCATTGGTATTTTTGGACCATCTTATGCATGGATGTAACAACTGTATAGGTAACAATACTTTATTGCATTTTTGCATCTTTAAGGCAGACAACCACTGCCCTTGTTGATGTTTTCTTTTTTACTTCTCTTCTAAAAGGCTCTCTGCCCTTCCTTTTCCCTTTCTGCTGGCTTTCTCTTTTCCTGATTTCTGAACCCTCCTAATAAAATCTCTTAACCCTCATCACTACTTTCATTTCTTTTCACTCTTCTCTTAAAACACTTTTGCTTTTTTCCAAACCTTCCCCATACCCCCCCTCCCATTTTAGCAATGACTTTTGCTCTCCTCCCTCCTCCCATTTTCTCTTTCCTTTCCTTCCGTCTTTTCAGTTTCTCCGCCTGCTCCCCTTTCTACACCCTCTTGCACTCCAGATCCTGTCCCTTCCTCACAGGATGCTTTTCCTCCTCTCAGTTTACAACTTTCTTTGCTGTGGAGATCGCTCATCCTCCCCTCACCCTCTGCAGGATCTTACATCCCTCCAGCCCCTTCTCCTTTCTCAACAGCCCCCTCCCTCCCTAAAAACTTCCCACCGGGAAAGCAACTCACCTAGATACCTTTCCGGTCTTCTACCCCTCCGCACCCCCTGCAAGACACCCTTTCTTCTCCCTGCGACCCCAGAAACCCCAGGAATTGTCGGTGTCGGACCGGCAGCGAAGGTCCCCTTGGTGGGCGCCCGGAGACCAAGGTATCAGAAAGAAGCCCCAGATTTACCATGGCGCCGGCGGCGCGACTCTGGGCTCAGTCCGAAGCCACCGCAGCTCGGAGGTGTCAACAGTGTTTCCACCCGTTGCTAGGCGACAGGGGAGGAAGTGACCTTCCGGAAGACTGGATGCCTGCGCCTGCGTCCTGCGGGTCGGCCGCTGCCTGCGGAGCTCTTCCGCCCTAGCAGAGCTGCTCCGATGCTCTAGGCCTCGAGGGCAGTGCTTGGGGCGTGGGCGGGCGCTCACCTGGGGTACTCTCCCGGTGGGGTCATGGGGCCGAGAGTTGGGGGATTGTAGGCCTCTCTGGGGCCTTACTGCAGTTATTCCTTCATTCCTGAATGAAAAAGTAACAGCCACTTCCTCATTCAAGAGCAATTTCATGGCTACCTGCCACTACCAGGCTTTCCTTGTGGGTCTGGGGTTGTGCACACTAAACTGGGGAGACAAGCAAAATTGGACTGGTGTACTATCAAAGTGTGATAAATGCCAGGGAGAGGCTGGAGGGGGCAGCACGTGAACAGGACAGGAGTCCACCTGACCCAGACTCTGGTCACTGTGGCTAGTTGTAAATAGATCCAGCTGCCATGTGACACTCGATACTTTCAACAGCTCTGCCTTGAGCGGTGTTGATAGGCATGTTTTTGTTTTTGTTTTTAATTTTCTTACATCGGTGTTTATATTTGTACAGCAATTGCTTTCTTTTCTCAGACATGGTCCCCTTAGTTCTCCCACCACCCCATCACCTAAGAATCATCATCATCACCATCTTCTCCTGTGTTCTCCCCTCCCCTACCCTCCCGTGTTGTTTGCCTCAGATCTGTGACCAGCTTGCAAGCTTTGTCTTCATGATCTGTTTCACATATAAGTGAAACCACCTGATAATAGTGTTTTTCCTTCTTATTTGGCTTAGCAGTATCCCTTCTAACACTATCCATGTTGCCACAAATGGCAAGAGTTTGTTTTTGATCATCATTGAGTAGTATTTCATTGTGTATATGCATCACACTTTTTCAAATTAAAAAATAATGTGTTCTACAGCATTGAACACTAATCACATTTATATATATTAATTCATGTCTTACTTCCCAGAAGCACTAGGACCCGTTCATTTTACTTCTTAAACTCTCATCAAATTGTTCAGTTGATTTGCTTAGTTACCAGTATTTTTGTTTAATCCATTAGGTTTGTTATTTTTTGGTCATTATTGGTTAACACTTCTGAGTTACTGAAAATTACTTGTGGTGGTGCTAGAGAGTTTACAAATTCCCAAAACAGGGCATTCCACTGAGTATTCAAGGAACCAAAGGAGGAAGATGTCATTAAAAATAAGTGAGGGGTGGCGAGAAATCACTTCATCTTTTGATAATATCTTTGTTACCTCAGAGAAAGAGACCAGCTATTGTGTGAAATGCAACAGGACATTTGTGACTGGAGGATTAATAAAGGCCTGGGGACTGAAGAGGGCAAACACTGATTATTAAATAGAAGTTGCAAATTGGGAGGGCATCTCCATAGAGACCAGGCTATAATAGCTCCCTGTACTACTGGTTCAGTTTGTGCTTCCGTTATAAGCAATAAGCACACTTACTGCTAGGAACGTCAACATGTTGCAAGGCCTTTGTCAGGGACATGCGAGAACAATTTTGAACTTGGTGCTTTTGGGCTAAGATCATTTTCATTTCAGTGTGTATCATTTTGTGATATCATATACAGAAGCTATCAGTAACTCAGTTCTGCTTTAAATTTTTTCTTTTGTGTAGGGGGTGGTAATGCTGGTATTGTCACTTTCCTATGAGAAACATGTACTTCTCAGTCATGTTACAATAGTTGAGTAATCTCCGTGTCACTTAATGCATGGAGCACCCGCGAAATAATATGGAATAGACAGCTGAGCTTATGGAGAAGTGTGTGCGTGTGTGTGTGTGTGTATACACAGAGCTGACTCTTCACTGATTGCTCATATCTACTATTTTCCAGTAATTTAAGGCATTATTGGCTTCACTGTGTAATGACTGCTCCTTGGGTGGTCTGGGAGTTTCTGATCAAGAAGATTCCTACTTGATTGGTGTTGCTATTTGTTTTGTCTATAATAATCAGTGGCAGTGCACCGTGTCTGTTGTGTCAATCAACTTTAATGAAGGAAAGGACTGCATATGCATGGCGTGTGAATCCCCTCGTTTCTGGAGTCAGGGTGTCAAGCTCATTCAATAGCTGACAGCTGTGATTAGAGCAAAGAAAGACTGCAGTGTGAAAGGCACTGACAGGAGTACCCAACTGCTTCAAAAGTAATAAGAAGTAGCCAAACTGACTTCCAACCAACACTCAAGTTTGAGTCACGGTGCAGGAAATCAATGAGGAGAATATGAGCCATTTTCTCCTTATTGATTTTCACTTCTAATTATTCCTTGGAGGTAGCTTGGTTTAATTTTTATGCCTTTTTGGGACTATAATGAATATCCAGAGCTGTGCTACATAAAGGATCTCAGTAGTGTCTGACATATTCCCTGTTCTGTCCTGGGTGTGAAGCGTGGTGGTATGAGACAAGCAGCCTGGGAGTCTTTTTATTTTCTATTATTTTAAAAATATTTATTTATTTATGCATACAGAACTGGAATATAGGCTAGAGGTGCAGGGGCGGTGAGAGGCTTCACCAGAGACAGAGTGGGGAGCAGAACAGGCAGGTGGATGAAGTACACCGCTGAGGGGAGCAGTGGGCGAGACAGAAAAGTTCTCTGTGCCATGTGGGTCACCTCCTCGAACTTGCACTGAAGCAGCTGCGGCTAGCTTGCAGTGCTGCATCCCAACCTGTTGTGCCACTAGGGAGGGCCAGCCTGGGAGACTTGAGGAATAGCCTTTTCCTTAGTTCCTGGTGTGCAACTTAGTTCCTGGGATGAATGCTGCTTCATGTTCGACCATGAACCACCATGAGGTAGGATGGACCTGGGGGGTCAGGGTGTCCTATGACTACTGACCCGTATGCAGCTATAAAACTCAGTTCTTGGTATGTAGCCATGCCATATGTGACATCTGCCACTGCAAACCCACCCAGACTTTGTAAAATCTAAAAGTGTATGTAAGTTCTGTCTTCCTACCAACACGGCTTAGCCATTGGATGCAGAGCTGCTGAGTTGGCACTGGTCCCTTAAACCTGCTTCTTCTTAACCTTGGTGTCCAAGTTTCCGTTGTGCCACATAACAGGTCCATGTGGATCCTTCCCTTCCCTGTCTCTTCTCCCATCCTCTCACTACTCCTTTGATCCATAGTAAGTGCTAAGTAGCTTTGAGCTTAAGTAGAAGATTTATTGAGTGATACTTTTTTGCAAGTACTCTGAAAGGATCCCAAAAGTTTGAGCCACGTGAAGACAAAGTTTGTCATTCTTCACATTTAATTTTATTAATGTGAGGTCACTTTCTTTTGGGGTCTCTTTCTCTGATAATTTGCTGTTGTGCTGAAGAAATCTGGGAAATTTCATCATCTTCAGTTTTCCTGGGATTTTCTCCCTCCCACCTCCCCGCCATACAGCTGTTTTTGGAGTTCTTGCTAGTTTTAAAATACTAAAACCTGGGCCACTGAATATATTTCATGTCTATTTCTCATAATATAAATTCAGCTCAAACAGAATTTGGAGTTATGTGCAGTAAAACTTGATGTTTGTAGGTGTATTTCCTTGAGTAAAATAAATTCTCAGACCTTTCATTTATCTATTAAATAGTAAAGACTCCATCTTAACAGGTTGGTGTGAAGTTTAAATATTACTTGCCTTTCTTGCACTAGATGTCCAAGCAGCATTTACCCATGTCTTTCTCTTGCATCTTTCCGAGTCCTTCCATCTCTTCCCTCATTCCTTTTCTCTCCTTTCCCACCCTCATATTTCTTTATCTTTACCCTTTACCTCCTGATTTGCCTCTCCCCCCTTCTTTCTTTCCTCTCTTCTTAACTCTAATTTCCAACCTACCTTTCTATGACATCGCTAAGAAAAATTTGCACTGATGACTTTCTTACTGAAGGACTTTACCCCTTTCTTCTTTTAGTTCCCTGTTCCATTATTCACTTAGAATATTCATCTAATGTAATTCACCTACCTCTAACCTCATTTCACCCACAATTTTCATCTTTAACCTCAATGTATATACTCATTAGATATTCTCGGTATTTATTTATTTATTTTTCTTAAGATTTACTTATTTTATGTATACTGACTGGGGTACAGGCCAGGGGAGGTGAGAGGATTCACCAGACAGAGTGGGGAGCAGGACAGGAAGATCAATGAAGTACACTGCTGAGGGGAGCAGTGGACAGGAGAAATCTGCTGTGTCATGTGAGTCAGCTCCCTGGCCAGGGATTGAACTTGCACTGAAGCAGCTGCGTACTGCTGAGCTCCAACCCATTGTATCACCAGGGAGGGCCCTATTCTCAGTATTTTAAAGTTGAGGTCAAGCTATAAATATTTCTTGGTATTAATTTTTGTTCAAAAAAGGGAATGGCAGACACGAGTAATAAATTTCCTGTTTCCTGATAATGTAGTCACAGACAGGGTCTCTGACCTATTATTATTTTTTTAAGTTCTCTTATCTGTAAAGTTCCAAAATTACTTTCATTGGTTGGTATAACACACACACAAACATGTTAGATGCACAAAAGTTAGGTAAGTGAGTTACTAACGTTTAGGATCACCATGTAAAATGTACAGTTGATGAATTACCACAAAGTAAACTATCATGCAGTCCTCAACCACATCAAGAAATAGAACACCGCCCATATCCCAGAAGCTTCCCCATGGCCATTCCTGAGCATTACTGATACACTGTTTGGCCTGAAAAGTCTAAAATATTTATCATCGGAAGAAATTTTCTTACTCCTCTATAGTGCAGGCAAGCCCTGGGCAGGTTCACCGTTGATTTGGGCAGATGGCTGAAGAAAGTCTTCAGTAGATTCCACATACCCTTAGTGCTCTCTTGGGGAGACCGGTACACAGGCATCATCAGGCAGGCATGCGAGGAGGCAGGCGGAGGCCGGGCAGGTAGGGCTGGAAGGCTTAGGAGGCAAATGACCCTCCCAGCACCCCCAGGAAT